TCTCTCTCTCCTTCTCCCCCTCCTCCTTCTCCACCAGCTTCTCCCCTCCTCCTTCTCCACCAGCTTCTCCCCTCCTCCTTCTCCACCAGCTTCTCCCCTCCTCCTTCTCCACCAGTTTCTCCCCCTCCTCCAACACCTTCTCCCTTCTCCCTTCCTTCTTCTCCACCAGCTTCTCCCCTCCTCCTTCTCCACCACCTTCTTCCTTCTCCTCTTCCTCCTTCTCCACCAGCTTCTCCCTTCCTCCTTCTCCACCAGCTTTTCCCTTCTCCCCCTCCTCCTTCTCCACCAGCTTCTGCCCTCCTCCTTCTCCACCAGCTTCTCCCCTCCTCCTTCTCCACCAGCTTCTCCCTTCTCCTCTTCCTTCTTCTCCATCAGCTTCTCCCCCTCCTCTTTCTCCACCAGCTGGTGTCTTAGCTAAAGTGGAAATCGCCATATTTGAGCATATATGCGAAGTGCGCATGCGCATACGCATCCTATATGATATATTTCGCAGGTCAGAAATTTCGCACACAAAGACGAGCACACAAGTGATCGGTCGGGTCGGGACGCATGCGAAGTGCGCATGCGCATCCTATCTTAGATATTTCGCAAGTCAGAAATTTTGCGCTACACCGGCGCTACGCGCTAATACACATAAGCATATACGCTCATAAGCCCTTTACTAGGTTAGGTGACGAAAGAAGAAATCGTAAGCGCAGTTTCACGTTAAATCCTTCCCGCGCCTATGTGGTGCATAGGGCGGTGTAGTGCCTATCTCCGTTTCCTTAACCCGAGGCCAATCAGCTGCTATTACAGTAAATACTACAGCGGGAGCTCTAGATATCTCTATTTTTGCTGAGTGATAAGCAGAAAAGTGCTAAGCAGAGAAGTGTAGTTTCAACAAGCCCATAAAATTGAAGAAATCTATAGCGTGCTGTGATGAATGGTCAAGTTAAGTGACGCTCGGAGATTGGTTAAGCAGGGCTGTAGGCTGAGCAAATTCCTAGAGGAGGTAGTGTCGGATCCAGGATTTCAAGGATTGGATGAGAAACAGATGGGGATCTGCGGGTCCTCCCACAGAAAATTTTGAAAATGTAGATAGCAGGAGATGGTATTTGAGACACTTTTTAGTACATGGACAACCTTCATTCTGACTACGACAATTCTCTTTTAGTAGAATAATTTATTTTATAAATTTTGCTCCAAAATCTAGGGGCAGCTGCCCCCCTTGCCCCACCCCCGCAGGCTAAGGCCCTGCTAACGCTACGGACAGACTCATCAATCGCTCACCAGTATCCGACAGAGCCGTCAATCTAAGTTAAGCTGGGTTTACACTAATGAAAAGTCGACGAGTTCATCCACTTTTCTACGTTCTATCAACCTTTCTCTCAGATGTTCAAAGCATTTACGTTATCGAGCGCGCGTCGGCAAATGTTTCAAGTGTGCGCGCGGGGCGATGTGGATACGCATTTGTGCATGTTGTAAAAACGCAGGCGGAAATATTCTCCCCCCCCCCTTTGAGTGGAGGGACACACCTCCTGATTTTTCTGCGTTTTAATTGCTGTTATCTGAGTGGCTGCATGGCAAAAAGTTTATTAACTCGCTGACTAAACGTTGAGAAAATAGAACATGTTCTAATCTCTCAACTAGTTAAGCGCTATACTACCAAATTTCAGTCAATTAGTTGTAAAGTTTTAACTCATTAACTTTTCAACAAAAAGTTGATAGTGTAAACCCAGCTTTTATAATTGTAAAGGTGCTCGATGGAACTTCTTGGTATATGGCTATTACGAACTGATCGGCCGGAATCGACGACATGACAGGTCGAATGATAACAATTAATAATCTTACATAGTTTACACGAGTTTAAATTCACGTTTGTCTTACGTAGCAGCCCTGAAAATAAGATTAAAGTGTTGTGCGCCAACGCGTCAGCTTATATGAATGCGCGCCGCTTATAATATGGTTTATTGTTATATATATATATCTGTATATCGCGAGCCACGACGTTTTCACAAGCGAAGCCTCTAGAGAGGACAGTAGATAAATCAGGAGTACATTCACATGTTACTTACATATTACTTACCTACTTATTTATTTACTTAGGGTCGATCATCCCCTAATTTTAACAAATTCATCATAGTGAATTTGCATTTCAGATCTTGCGTATATTGGTAATGACTTACAAATTGCGTATATGGGTGAATTACTGTATCTCAATTTTAGTGGTCATATTTCACAAATCATGTGAGCGAATTTAGGTAATCCGCGTTTTCGCAATATTGGGTATTACTGTAGAGTAATGTTAAAATCATTTCTTGTCACCTGTGTGTAATGACTTTGTATAAAAATGTTTGGCAACTTTCAAAGGTGTTTATTGGAATGCTTTTGGTTATAATTTGAGTCTTCCTCTGTGTTTTGGACAAGAGCTGACCACAGTTTTACCAGGATTACTATACATAACGAAATTGTTGTTAATACTGTCGTGAACGCCTGCATAACTCATGATGTCATGTTCACCCTGACCTTGTATATTTTTTACAAAAATTATTAAAGTGTGAGATACGTATGGCTGTCAGCACATAATGTGATAATACGCGAAAATAATCCAATTACGACCTACTTGTTAGTTGTTACTACGTATAGGATTCTTATGGTGGGTCTGACACATATAATAGCAGCTAGAGGGAAAGCTTATGAAAATATCATAACGTGATAAATCCTAGCATTGGAAAGTGGCGCCCCCTTTTGTCACAATTTATATATGTCTATGCACGGCCGGCATAAGCTAGTGCGGGGCTTGTAGCATTATTATGTTATAAGCGGGCCCTACATTAAAAAAAATATGAATTTTAAAACACGTGAATTTAAGTTAATCTAAATCTGATACATTTTCTAATAAGTTAGATAGTTAATAGATTTAATAGTAATAGATTTACTCACAAATAAACTATACCAGCACTCATTATCGTATCAGGTTTACGTGTATACTGAAATAAATGTTTTTTAATCAAAATTTAACTATTAGATAGTTCATGATATTACGGGGACCGTAAAAACACAGGGCTGCGGGGCCAGTAGCCAATGCTACTTTTGCTACTATTGTTAATCCGGTAATCTGTCTATGTAAAGCTATGTATTTGATTCGAAAAGTAAGATGGGAACCCGCTCACGGCGTACACTAGCCAAGCATAAGTTAAATTTCAAATCATGGTTGAATCTATTCGGAAAGAAAACTCTATTGTGTATATCTATATTGCAATGTTTTTGTTTGTGTTCGTGTATTGCCATGGAACAAAGTGTTATCTGCAGGTCCTTCTGGCTGCCCACCTGCCCATCAGTTCATTTATTTGATTACCTCTCTGTGATGTAATTGTAACTAAATGATATGGGAAATGTGAATATTTCCATAATAAACATGTGTTTATCATTGGAAGGGGTTAATCATAATTGAAAAATAATGTAGACTAAATAAAATTGAGTAGAATTGATGGAAAGTACATTGAGAAGTGTCGATCCTTCAATGGTTTTATATTATTGATAATATATAAATTGAAAATACTCGCATTTCTAGAATATATGTCAATTGCACTTCACCTGTAATAATTTAGAACCAAGATTTTGAAGCAAATCCCGCGTCAAGTGAGTTTAGCTATAGGTATGCTATGTAGGTTTGTTTATCAGTATACTTATATACAATAGGTTCACATACAGTTGTACTGTAAATATTGTGAATTGTTTATTTGATCCAAGTGTTAGAATGCGGTTACTAATGTCTCTGACATCAATAAATGTTAAGGTTAATTTTGAAAATATCACTATTTATACACTTAGTTCATTTTGCACTTTTTCTCCGCCCCCCGCCATTACTCCTGCACTTCCTCTTCCACTCTTTCGACGTAGCATAAGCCACATCAATGCTGTTCCATATATGAGCAATATCTATCCACGTGAAGGTAGTTCAGTCCAGAGTGAGCTAAAAATAGGCATGACTATCTCCATGACAACGATGTCAGTCATTTCGCTCTGCCTCCTGCACACATCCAATCGGGTGTTCGTTGCCAGCGCTACGCGCTAATACACATAAGCCTATACGCTCATAAGCCCTTTACTAGGTTACGTGACGAAAGAAGAAATCGTAAGTGTAGTTTCAACAAGCCCATAAAATTGCAGAAATTTATAGCGTGCTGTGATGAATGGTCAAGCTAAGTGACGCTCGGAGATTGGCTAACGCTACGGACAGACGCATCGATCGCTCACCAGTATCCGACAGAGCCGGAAATCTAAGAAAAGCGGGATAATTAAAAACGCATAGCTTCGCAGCTTGATCGGGAGGTGAGTTTTCTCTGGTCGTGTACTCCCTTCATTCCCCAACAGCTATAGACTTTATATACCATTGTTTGCGGAGCGAAACGCTACGCGGATAGCGATTTACCAGCGCGTGATCGTGATCGGCCATAACGAGAAAGATCTCTTACTACTTACTGATAGAGCGTTTTAAGTGTAGCTGCCAGGATAGTCGTCTTGAGTCCATCGGTAGCCGTGATTCGGCGCATTGTTTTTTAGGTTGACATTTTTAGAACTGCGTCGTTAGTTTAGTCAATGCCTTCGGTGAATGTAATAAGCATGCACACACGCAAGCAATTACGTCGTTACTTTGTTATGACGTTAGTTATTTCAAGAGAAGATGAATGGACACATGGTGACAAACTAGTTCGTACTTTTTATACGTATGACTAACACCATCATTTACTGTCTTATAATTGGCATTTTCCGACACGTGTCATAATCACTGCTTCCCTAGTTGCTACCTTTATAATGGTAACTCAACACAGACGAGATTTTATTCACTTGTCATGACATCAGAAGTGCATGCGCATCACACATGCTAATTGGATAAGAAACGTAGACTGGCTATAATAGGAACTTTAGCTAATTGAACTGGAGCTGGACGATCATTCTTCTACGAGACTCCGTCGAGAGAAATGTGGCGCCCGGGTAGAATTGTGTTATTGTGATGGTGTAGTGCCGGTCCCCTACCCATCGTCCTTTTCTCGTACCTAACTTAACCTAACCCCACCTAACCCCACCTAACCCCACCTAACCCCACCTAACCCCACCTAACCCTACCTAACCCACCTAACCCCACCTAACCCTAACCGTCACCCTAACCGTCACCCTAACCCCACCTAACCCCACCTAACCCCACCTAACCCTAACCCTAACCCTAACCGTCACCCTAACCCCACCTAACCCTAACCCTAACCCTAACCGTCACCCTAACCCCACCTAACCCTAGCCCTAACCCTAACCGTCACCCTAACCCCACATAACCCTAACCCTAACCCTAACCGTTACCCTAACCGTCACCCTAACCCCACCTTACCCTAACCCTAGCCCTAACCGTCACCCTAACACTACCTAACCCTAACCGTTACTCTAACCCTAACCGTCACTATAACCCCACCAACCCTATGAGTTGTACGCGACTGCGTGTCATCTGTGATAAGCGTGGAAGCATCTACATAATACGCTTGATAACTGTGATGATTGCAGTTTCCGTGGCCGGTGTCACGAAAAGGGCGAGGAGGGAATTAAACGTGGTTCTCGTTTTCAAAGCAATATGTTTGACTCCGAAGTTCATACAAGCGAATATATACGACGTTTGTATTGTAGCAACGCTGAGGTCAGTAACCACAGTTAGCATCAGTAGACAGCTACAGCGACTACAGTATAATCGGTTGGTATTTCTAATAATGACGTAATAGTAGATGAAATTAGCGTTCGGAAAACGGATCAAAGCTGAAACATTCGCGACCAAAATCATTGGTCACACAAAACATCACACTAAAACCTGTGCTTCTGAACAGGTTGTAGTGAGTCTCGTTGCACTCAGGACATTTTGATACATGCCATTAACCGTGGTCAGTGCACATATCAGACAAAGAGATTTCACGTGGCAACAACGGGTCAGAAGAGAGTCATTGCGTTATAGCAACTCGCCCGATCGAAAATGGTTTGATGCAATCTATCCGTTATGCTAACATTACAGTCGCATTTGCTGCTCTAAAAAAAGAGAAACGCAGAACGCAGTTAATTAATGGTGAGAGCGCAGCATAGGAAAAACAAAGTATAACGTGCATTGCAGATTTTTCTCGATAACATTCATTATCTGCAGTTTACGATCTCAGCGCTCTATATTCTTTACCTACATGTGGCCTTTTTGTTGGAATATATAGTTGTCGTTTGGGCGTATTCTGAAGATTGGTGAAACCAATTTTTTTACTAATTATATACATAAATTGCTGGAACTTTAATGGCGGAGATGGTTTCTTTGCCACCTTATTGCCTATAATATGGGCCTAAATTGATATATAATAAATGACCAAACAAATATCTCCAAGGCAAGGGTTAGACTAATAGACAGTATATTATACTATGGAGGTCGCTCCTTTTTCAGATCCTAGACCCTAAAGCTCACAATAACGTTTCTACCAGTTGATCATCACGTGCTGTCAACATCTCATTGTGCCCATCTGTCTTCGCAGCCTCCCAGTCTGCCTCGCTGTCTGTCTGTCTGTCTGTCTGTCTGTCTGTCTGTCTGTCTGTCTGTCTGTCTGTCTGTCTGTCTATATCTATCTGTCCATGCATTACCATGCGTACACCCTTTGATATAATGTAGAATATCTATATTATTACGATAATTGAGAGATACTCTATCCAGTGAAACTTGAGCAGTGTGTTAGTATCCCATCACAGCAGATCAAAAGTGGCATTTACCAGCCATGTGCAGATGCAATGCTAGATAATACGGTACTATCCGATTGTCATTCATATATCTTGTGATTAACGACTTTTTACCATGCATGTATTTTCACGCTGTTGCCACAATGAAAGCACTTAAATATGACGTGAACAGAGGACATAGTGATTAATATGTCGAAGTAATTTATATTGTAACTTGTTGCTTAATAAATAGCTTCTCGTGTAAACCATATGGGAAATGTAAACATAGACATAGTGTCATTAATTTTACTTTTAGTCGCACAAAATAGGTATATACAGGAATCAGTGCAGTTTCTGATATGTATGTCCCGTGTGCTATTCCGGGCTTCTTGGTTTATTGTTATTACCAAGCTAATAATTTACGAACTACAAATGAATTATTCATTCTCCCCTGTTGTTACAGTATTTCATATACACAATGGTTTATCTCAGCTTCATTTCACCTTGCATCATATTCTAACTCACAGTATCCAATTTTGCAGAATTTTACCGTGAAATACATCTAGAACAGATACATTTATGTGCTATCTCAATTTACACTATCACGTTGAATTGTTAGTGAACGTTAGCGTGAATCATATATATCCCTACTATCAACAAAGATAATATACCAAATAGGCCCCTTATAATTTCTATGCTAATATCTTTTAAATTTATAATATACTTGTATAAGGGAAACCATATACTAAGGGGGCTTCCATGGGTGTACTTGGGGATTTATAACTATCTGCTTAACTATCGTTATGTATTATAGTTTGGACCAATAGAAAATAATAACCTTTGTGGGGATAACCACCGCATTATAATCAGTTTCCCGAGCTCTAGTTCATCTTCCGGAACCCCGCCAACGTATTTTTCTATTGACTACTCGTGATATGACAGGTCCCCTCGATTCACGTTGATATTGCCCATAAAAGAATCAGGCATTGCTAAATGTATTCATCTTATTCACGCGTCATTTTACGGTAATTTGGTTACGAATACGGTATACATAGCCATTAACAAATAGTGGCAAGGTTTTCAGGATGTCCTCCAGCCGATCCTATTTATGATGCTTGCGTTTGAGCATATTACGTCTGCTTGTGGACGCTGCCGATATGATTGTGGACAATTATTGTGCAATAATAACGACACAGTTCCGCGCGCAGCGCTGTTAACGCGGTCAGCCTTAAGGATACTGTTAGGGTTACGGACGGGTAACACAGTAAAGGGCATTGCAACATAACTGCTCATCAAATTCACTCAAACTCATATCCATTACATAAGAGAGATGTCTCTCTCTACGCTCTCGATAAAAATTTATCGCTATTTACGGCAAAAATTGTGAGTTTTTTGTTATTTCTCAGAAACAGCGAACAAGAGTTGGGACCTAAATCTTTGACCATAAGTTGTTCATAATATGAACTAAAAAAGAGTCCCTGGAATTTTTTTAATTGCTTTCATTTAGGAAATAAGTTGAAAAGATGTACGAAAATTTGTAGTAATTTTCAAAACGCAACAATTTCTTAAACGAAAAGCCATAACTTGTAAAATATAACATTTAAAAAAAATTATAGGGAACCTTTTTTTCCTCTGATATTGTTAGCATTGAAACGTAACAAAAAAATTTGGAATCGGAGTTGTGAGTTTCGAGAAATAGCATTTAAAAAATCAGCAATTTCAGCATTTCTAACTATGGAGATATTAGCACTTTTCTAAATTTCCCATGATTGAATGCCTGTGGAAAGAATTGACTAATGCGGGGATTTGGAACTGTCTGGGAGGCTACATACATAATTTCTACGTATACATATAGCTGTCCATGGGTGCGATCTATCAAATAAAGTGGGTATTGAAATTTCGACCGAAAATCACCTCCCAACCCTAACAGTATCCTTAATCATGTAATCGTCACGGATGCATTTACTAATCTTCCTAACGTTGCTGTCTCACTACGTTGGCCACCTAATGAGTGTACTTGCCTTTACAGATCAGTAGATAGGGATCTTATGTGTTACGTCATTTATAGCGTTAGAATTACTATTGGAAAGGGGCTACAAAAGGTGACATGTAAATAGAAAACATCGCTGTAGGACGCCTTCATGCTTCTAATCCCACCCACCGTGTAGTAATGCACTCCCACCCAAAGTGTAGTAACCTACTCCCACCCACCGTGTACTACTATCCTACTTCCACCCACCGTGTACTACTATCCTACTCCCACCCACAGTGTACTAACCTGCACGGGGCAAACCTGAAAATCCGCTCGCTCTAATACTATACGTGTGGAATGTGTTCGTGCACATCGTTCTATGCAAAGGGGTAGAGAGGAAATGAGAATAAAAAGGAACTATCGTAGGCTTCCTCTGTCGGTAAATCCGTTCTCCCGAATACTATACGTGTGGAATGTCACCTTTGTAACGCCAAAGCAGCCTGCACATGAGTAGGCTTCGCTTGCGAACGGTTTCACGAGCTGCTCTAGATCTGATCTAATCCACGTGCGACGCGATGTTGTGTACCATGTGGTGGGTCGCTCTCTCATTTTCCACCAGCTTCTCCCCTCCTCCTTC